TTGTACAATTAACGAAAACTTTCGTGGCTCAAAATGACGAAAAATTTCGAAATATGTACGCAAGTTTTCGTTATATTTACGCAGATTTTATTTTCAGTACATGAAAAACAGCTTCACATAAAAATACAATCTCCGTTCGGAGTAGGCGTAAAACTGTAGCTACGCTACGAAAAACCAAAAATCCAAATGCTGCCACCCTTGCGGAAACATGTGCAGCATTGCCAGCTATCAGTTGTTTTTCGAAGATAGCTGAATGAAGGAAAACAAACTGGAAAGGAATTAAAAAACACTCATCATGTGCTTCTTTATTGTAAATTGGTTAATTTTACATATTTCGAGGAAAATTATGGATTCTGATATATTTGCAATTATAGCAGCAGAGTAAGCGGGCACTATGCCAACGGATTCACAAAGGTATGCGGAGCTGTCGGGCATAGTAACCATGGGGGCATCTATGCCAGCTTCTGGTTGAATTGTTGAACCACAAGCCAGAACTCCTCCTATCCCTGAAGCTCTTGTTCTCCAAGCCATTGAAAACATGCACTTTGTTAGGTCCACCACCTGTTACGCTTGCTTCTGCCTTCGGCAGCGCTTAGGGATTATAACCCTTACTAAGTAGAATTATCCTTTCTGTGTTGCGGGGAAGAGGGGCTTCCGCGTGTCAAAGGTATACAACATTTCTTGAGCATATCACTCCGGCTACGCCGTCCACAGTATTTTTGCGCAGAACCCACGTCGAAATTTACAAAACAGTGCATAGTGCAAACCTAGTTTATTAATAAGCTAGTGGTAGGAAATTTGAAACATTTATCTTAAATAAAATGTGAATCCTTTGATTACACGTGTATGTTAACACAACAAACGAAAATCGTTGTACATTAACTAAACCGGACCCAAGTTTCTCGATAAGGGGCAACAAATATTCTTTTTTGCTCGTTTATATAAAGCAGTGGATAAAAATATACGTATATGCGAAAGGAAAATTTATCTGTTTAAATGAACACCACCAATATTTCTTGCAAACATCGATTTACATCTCTTATTTCGCCTCTGACACAGACTTGTTTTCGTACAAAATTACGCAAAAAAGCTTACTCGTTCGTTTTTAGGTATGCCATTGTACGAATTTCAAAAATTTGAAAATGCGATTCGGATTGCAGAATACTATTTCTACGATTCGTAGCAAAATCCGAATACGAAAGAGTTGCAGAATAGGGGTGTTTATTTAAATGTGCGAAACAAGTGGCAACACTGTTGCTTGCTCCTTGAAATTGTTGTTGTATTTGTTTGTTTGTTTACATTTTGTGCTGAATAGCTAATTGTTGTTTGGTATAAACATAGGGTCACACATCTCATATTTAAATAGGCAATATTGGCAATTTTTAAGTGCAGATTAAATATGTGACCTGAAAATTAATTTTTGAGGTTAATAAACAATCTCTACTTAAATAGCTCATCTGAAATTGGGCCCTAGGATTTACTCATATCACATATTTTGGGCCGGTTACTCTATGCCTGGTTAACACTAACTACAGGTTTAACATCGTTATCGACGTAAGCGACCCCAAAACATATAACAGGGAGTCGATAAAGATGTATAACTTGTAGTTAGTGTTAACCAGACATTGAGCAACCGGGCCTTAGAGTACAATCATTATTTTCTATGTCGACAAAATATTCACTTACATTCAGCTCGCTTCCTTGAATATTTGGAGGAGTATCCAGATAAATAGTCTTCCATTTTGTTAATGTTTTGGTCTGTTACTTCAAGCTCTGCGCCTAATTCCTTGGTTTCCTGATTGATATCTTCAATTTGGTCTTGGGATTGGTTTTCAGGTAATGGAACTTCCACGATCTCGTAGATGGGTCTTTTATTTTTTAGTGGGGGAGTAAATATGTGTAAAAAATCACGGGCTTTAGCTTTTTTAACTGTATCTTCAGCATATTTAGTAGAATCACTGGATTTTATTACTGCACTTTTAATGTATCGTAACTTTTGTTTAGCGGTATGAATAGAGGTATCAAAGCATTGCGAATCATAAATGCCTTTAAGAAAGTTTTCAGATTTCTGCTCTAAGCTTTCATTATGAAGTATTAGCTTTTTTATGGATTGCGGTAAAGGAGGAGGCGATGGTGGCCGAGTTTTAACAATTAGTATTTCAATAGTAGTTTCATATGATATGCGTGGAAGCGGTTGAAAGAAGCCAGGCATGCGATGAACATTCGGCGGTAAAGGCGGAGGGGGGTCTGAAGTTCCTCCACCTTCATATGGTGTGCTAATTAGGTTTGTTAAAGAATTAGACCATTGCTGAAGAGAAGCACTACCTTTAATGTTAGTAACATTTCTATTTTGCCTGGAACTGTTATTATCATCTGCTGCTGCCGTTACATTATATGTTAATTTGGACGATTCTTTATAAAAAGGAATATCATTGAGAGTAATTGTTCTATTTGTATCTACAATTTTTGGTGTCTCACTAATTTTTATCAATGGAAATGGTTTAAATGAACAGTCAGTGGATGAGGTATTTACTATTTCGCTGTCCTTACCAACGGAATCTTGTTTTTTGTCAGAACTTAAATTGTTTTCAGTTGAGTAGGTAGTAATTTTGGCCAAGTCAACACTTTTTTTAATAGAATTGAATTCTTTTGTAGATTCATCTGTATTCTTTTGATTTAGGTTTTCGCTTTCCACAATTGTCGTTTGATCATGCGAAATATTTAAATAATCCTTCCTCTCAGTGGCCGAAGCTGAATCCTTTTCTTCAGTTATATCTGGGCAGGCTACTTTCTTTTCAACTAAAACGTTTTCAGAGTTACAAATCGATTGGATGTTTTCTTCCAATGTTTTTCTTTCTTCAAGTAGTTCACCTTTGATCTTAAGTGCTAATTTATTTTCTTCGTAGTATTTTGCCTTCTCCTCCTCACTTAAATAGTAATCTTGAGCTACGTCTGAGGCTTTTATTCCAGAGTAGGGATTATGGGCTACAGCTTTCTGTGGCAAGTGAAAAAGCAATTCATTTTCCTGAAGTACTTGACTTGTATCCACACGTAAATCGTCTGCCAAATGTTCCTGCAATGTCGAGTCATCATCCCTGTGCGAAACTATTTCTTGAAACCATTTGTCTCGAATTTCTTTTCTGTGTGGTTTTAATTCAAGCGGTAAAAATATTTGACTTTTCCCTTGCTTTTCTGTTATGTGCAACAGATTTTCTACGGAATTATTTTCAATATTGCAATCAGGTAGCTTTATAATGTTTTGCAAAAGAAAAATTGATCGTTCCTCATTTATTTTTCTTACTTTAGTTATTAAAATCCTTGATTTAAATAGAAATAAATACCGTTCGTGTAACTTTTGAGCAGATTCTTTAACAGTCCACCAGTCGTGGTTTAGTAAACGTCCAATTTTATATATATTTCCTCTATATCCTTCTATACTAGATAAAAATTTATTATGAAATGCTCTATTGGGAACGCTAAGCATTAACTCCAAAGCCTTTTGTAAGTCTTTAGTATTGTCAGACACATTTTGTGAGTATTTTATTAATTCCTGAAATAAGAAAAATTAAACTCAAAAAACTATTAATTTCGTACCACAGAATGTGTTTGTAATTAATGGATGAAGAGCTGGAAGGGTTATGTCTGCTTTGTTCTTTAAAAGTAACTATGATTAAAAGAAATTAAGATAAGTTATGTAAAATGGTGTTCTGAAATAAAAATTATATTCAGTTTTAATAGCAAACAGTGTTTAAACTTCGCAGCATTTATACACAAAATATTACAAAACAAAGAAGTAATGTTAAACTATCCGCTGCAATTTTTAAAAAATTCAGGTTATCGACGTCACGATATGGAATATTACTGATGATTCGGCGAGAATAAAAAATTTTATATACATATGCGCTTGTGTTAATGAAATCTTTCTAGAAATTTTTTGTGAAAAATTTTGTATGATGCGTTTTTCCAATAACTGATCAATATAATCCTTAGAATCAATAGAATTTATAGAATGCTTAAAAAATCGAGAATGCGAAACGAATGGATTTGGTCGCCATTTTATAAATACGTATGTATTTTGGTGTCCAGCTGAATAGCTTTTTAGCTAGCTGGGCACATCGGCTGATATTTCAGCGGCAGTAATAATCACTAGACCGAATAAAAAAAATTGTGAAAATAAATTGTGAAAAAAATTGGAAAAATTTCCGCAAAACTAAATTAAAGCTTCACATTCTCAAACAAATAAATCTATTTTAAATAAACTTTGTCATATGAAATATGGATTGTGGTGGGGTAAAAGCCATAGCTANTCTATTTTAAATAAACTTTGTCATATGAAATATGGATTGTGGTGGGGTAATAGCTATGGCTTTTACCCCATCATAGTAAAAATCCACCAGAAAGCGGATCAGCACGGGGAGGAGATGGGCAACGCCTCCAGTGGACACGCTCCTTCAGACATTCTTCCCGACGAAGAGGCCAACAAAACAGGCAACGCATCGAGCGGACCTGGGGCCCCGAGTTGACACCGGTGAATGATAACGCGGAGTCCACAGAAAACACCGAGAGTGGACCTGTGGATCCACTAACGAGTGTATCCGATATTAAGACAGATAAAGAGAGTGAAACGTGCTTAGTATCTGCCTACGTAGGGTCAGTCTACAGTCGGTTGGCAACACTGGACGGAGACCAGAAGCTGGGGGAGAAGCAAAATGACACCACTGCTACCGCTGAACGGAGGGAGCTATGAAGAAGCAATGGATATCATCGACCATGAGGATGGGGCAGATCCTACAAATTAATCTGCACCACTCCAAGGCAGCCTCGGCTGAGGACGTGGTTCTAGGTTAAGAGCCATGGATCGTCAGAAACAAGGTTTGTGGACTGAACTCTGTTGTCTACCACGTTGTAACAGCTCGAGGAGCAGGTAGAATCAGAGCATGCAATCTTATTCCAAAAGTATATTATTTCTGCAGGAAGTTGTGAAGGATGTAAACTGAAAAAAACTCCCGGTTATAATTGGTCCGCCACTATTCTCTTCGCACGATTTGGGGCTTAAGCGACTCCAACTCCCGGGGTGAGTGTTTATTCTTTTATATAATATTACTGTATGTAACCGTGGGAACGACCCCACCTTTGTGACCTCTGTTAGAATAAAAACGCTGAATATCCCCCTCGTCCGAGTTGTTTTACTGACCGGATAACGGATTGGAAGGTGTCCAAAGAGCACTCATTTTCTGACCACTTCTACATTACTTTTAAGCCCACCTTTGATCCTGCTCCTTTAACATCATACAGGAACCAGAAACGAACCGACTGAGTAAAATACGCTGTCGTCCTCTCTACGTCGATACGCTTTTCAAGGTAAGTCCTGCTTATCGGTAAGGCCTGTTGAAGCTAGTCTCTCGAACACGAAGGTTATTTCTCTCGGTGAGCTGGACTTATCGTCAAAAATTTGTGAAACAGTGAACTTTGTGACAAGTGCCTGTAATGCTGCATTCAGTGCCTTCTGCTCAATCACCCTCCCGAATTGCAAAAAGAGACCTCAGTGGTGGAATTCTGAAACTCAGCACTGAGGAAAATCAGCAGGAGGCTCTGCCGTCTGGACATTATCAAATAACGAAATACTGGATATCCTTGTAAGCACTCACTTTCCAGGCTGCCCTGATGACACCACCGGCACTTCGCTCGGTCGTAGGACTAGGGTAGCCAGATATTTTAGTAACATAATCAGTACAGTTGGGATCAAAAATCAGTACAAAGCAAAAAAAAAAAATCAGCTCATTTTAAGCGTCTTTTTCGCATTAAGTTAACATATAGTATTATCAATATAACAGTCCATTAGTTTAAAACCAAATAAGGTGACAGGTAACAAGATCAATGGAAATAAGGTCAATTGCATTTATTTCCCACCCTGGTGCGAAATAAAGTCAATTGACATTATTACCTTTTCAAAAGCGAAATAAAGTCAACAAAAATTTGGAAATAAAGTCATTGACGCTATTTCCTCATTCAAATGGAAATAGCGTCAACAATGCTTAAAGTATGTCGATTCATAGAAAAAAATTTTGTTCTTACAATAAACATTGCCCGTAAGTGTTGTTGTTTAATAGATGACAAAGGCCAAATCCTCAGTGTGGTGATATTAATCCAGACCAGAGCTGTGTAATGGTTGAATCAATTGAGTGTGCATTCTCATTTTATCGTTTCAAAAATGTGATTGTTTGATTTAAAAAATTTAACAACCACACTTGAGATTGGTTACAAATTGTAAACACAAAGTATGTAGTGTGTTATGGAATGGTTGACACCCATTCACATAGAGAATGTGAATGCAAAAAAAACTCAATCATGTATGATTGTACGTTTATGGGAAAGCAATCTGTCATTATCATTCAGTACTAATACTATTTGTTGTATCAGGGTTGAGATTTTTGTACTCAAAATGTAAAACCAGAAGATCGCCATCTCCCTTAAAATAAGTAAAAAAATAAATATTTGGTTCTAAAATATTTTTCTAAGTGTTTGGCCGAGCTTCTGCTCAACCTTGAGGCATGAGTTCTGTTGTTGTGGCACAAATGCTATTTTGGGTTATGATCTGACCAGGTATTTAACCATGGTCCTATGGAGTGGAAGTACGCACATGTAATCACTCTGCTACGGCGGCCGCCGTAAGTACATGCTATACATATACAAAACCGCGTAGTTGCATAAATTATTTTCTAGAGAGTAAAATCACCCATATTTCAAAATGGTTATCTTTTTTATAAAGCAAGCGTATTTCTGGCTAGTATATTTCAGCAAATCCAATTTTTGGCAACAAATGTCAGTTACGAGGTTCTGCAGAATGACGATACGCGGTTTTGCACTTTAAACGACGATATGTAAGTATACATGTTATATTATTTGTTCTCAAAACGCATGAAAACTATAGTATGCTTGCAAACAATTAATAACATTTTGTGATAAACAGTTTCACAAATGTATTTGCACTTCAAATTTATGTTTTAATAAAGTATTAATTAAATAAAGTATTATTGTAAATTTTTATTTTAATAAATAGATCTAAAGATATTTACACTTAGCAACTCTTGGACTTTTCTTCATTGACAAATGACAGATGTAAACAAAATAAAAAAATAATCGTATTTTTACAAATTTAAAGCAAACGGGCGTTCTTTACAAAAAAATTTAGTTGGGGATCGAATTGCGCATATTTTTTCCAATACCAAGTGCCTCCAAGAAGTGTTAAACCACTAAATAGCTTAAAAAACGCTTTCAAAAATTCGAAACGAGGGTGAAGTGCAGTCTTCAATTGTGATCGAAATTGTAGGCAAAATTTGAAGAAATGTTGCCCCTCGTTATTAAAAATAAGCAAACCCAGACCCCCGCTTCCCACTGGTGGTTACATAATACTTGAACAGCCCCTTAATTAACACGTGCTTGTTTTGTGCACGCACGGCCAGTTAAACAGGCATGTCTGAATCGATTTCCTTCATCATTCTTAGCAATTTGATGTGCATTTTTATTGTTAT